CAAAACTCACAAACTCAAAATACAACTCTATTCTCAAAACATAATTCGAAAACTCTACCAAACACTTCCATAAATTTTTTCACCACCTTTCCTCCATCTCTTTTCATTTGTTTGTTCGTTTTTTGGTAAATCTTCCTCCATCTCTATCACTTTAAGCAGTAAAATAGATATAGATTTATTACATTCTCCTTTAATTCACAGAAAATTGATATGAAAAAAAGGGAAGAAAACGAATTAGAGAGATCTATCAATGAGTGAGAATAAATATTTTTTTTTAAAAGTACGAAAGCAACTGAAAATGAGGCATACTTGTGCTGTAGCTTGACGCATCTTTGTTAGATCATCATTCATTTCAAGCACAGTTTGTTCTAAAATCTTCTCTGGATCTTCAAAGGAGCTAACAATTGAATTTGCATATGACTACACTTGTGACAAAATTAAGCAACAAAAGAAAGGAAAAAAAAAAAAACATTCGAGTATAAGTCAGAGAAAATCAAAGCCGTGATTTCCAAACAAAGAATCACAAACTAAGAACCCTTAATAACCTTGATCACTCTAGCAAATCGGTCAAAAAGGTTCATTCGAGCACCAAGAGCACCTCCATCATGACCATTACATCTGGATCTGATGGAGTGAGACAGTCGTATCCCTGTAAATTTTATAGCTCCCACTACAAGAAAAATGAATGAATTCTAAGAAAAACTGAACCAAAAAGATTAAGAGAATGGAATCTTTCTGCTTTGGATATAAGATATCAATCCTACAACAACATTAATAGGTAACTCTAGCAACAAGAAAGAGCAAGAAAAATTCCATGGTGTTACTTATGATATTCTAGTTTTTAAAAGGGTACATTCTCATCACAAAGATCTAGAATCATGGGATTACCTACAAAAAAAATTTCCTTCATCTTTGGAACATAAAATCTCATTGTTACATTTCTGTAATTTAATTATTAAGTTTCAATATGATCCATAAGATATCTACTAAGAACATTGATTATTTAACTCCATTCTTAATTGAATCTCATCTTAGCAAACTTTGGTCAGCAAGTATGAGAAAAATATTTTAGAATTACTTTTCTCATTTATTAATATGATAATATAGTAGAAACTAAAACAAAATATTATTTCAAATTTTAAGAGTATTCAGCTGACAGATTGATTATGTTTGTTACAAGTTTAATTTGGTCCACCCAGAAATCTAACCTGAAAAATGTTATACTATATGAATACAAGTTGTCCAAAAGAAAATGCCCAATGCTGCAGCAGGATATATTTGGATTGAAAGATACGTAGTAATGATCTTGAAAATTTGTCTCCTCAATTTTTTAAAAATTATGACGAGAAAGTGGAAAAGGGAAACAAGATAAAGAAATGACAAAAGAAAACAAAGATGAATGAGACTAAGTTAACGGGAGAAGATGAAAAGACAAAATACAAAAGAACACGAAGAAAAAATAATGTAGAAGATGAGTAGCTAGATTCAAATTGTTAAAACAACGACGATGCAAAATTTGGTCATCCAATATGAATGCCCCAGTATGCCTGACTAAAAATCTAGATCATCCAATTGAAACATCTAGAACATTCAAGGGGTGGGATCCATTTTGGGTGAGTCAATTAATAATTCACGTAACAAGCCGCTTCTTCCATTTTCTTCTTCTCTACAAATTTCTATAATTTTACTTTAAGCCTCTAAAATCCTGAAACCAGATTTGAACTACTGCCCCTTTACCCATAACCTCAAGAGGTTTTACGATGATTAATGTTTGCTTTGTTGGACTAATTGCATACATTTTTTCTGTTGTGAGGTGTCTTGTTAGTCCTTTTTCTCTTGTTCAAATAATATACAAAACCAATCATACATAAGAAATTACACACACTATAGCAGTGCAAGTCAATAAATTGATTAAATAGACTACAACACAAGACCCAAGTTCTTAGTTCACACTAGTTTTTTTTCTTTCCAATAATTCATATGTACATCCAACATAAAATGAACAAATATTATATTGTGTGTTTAACTGAATTTGCAATTGATCAAAGAAACATAAATGCCAAGTACCAACACAAAATAATTAAAACTGTTAGCAACAAATTACCAAATCTGGAAATTAACGGATACCCAGAACGAAATATGGTGGGTATTACTGAGTTGAGTACCTCCATCGCCGAAAAAGATGTTCTGAGGTGGTGCCATGAGCCTACTAGAGGAGGGGGGAAGAGAAGCAGATGGTGTTGAGGCCATGTGTGAGAACCCGAATATAAAAATTAAGTAAATAATTAAATAATAATTTTACAAATCTCAAATATTTTATTATGAATCTTTAAGTTCAAATTAAATATTATTGGAGGATCTTTTAATTAATTTTAAACCTAAAATAAATTTATGGTGAAAGTCATTGATTGAGAAGCAAGATTTATTATTAAAAAAAAAAAAATAGAGAAGAGGGTGTGACTTGAACTCTAGACCACAAAATTAATAAGGTAGACTCTTACCATTTGAATTGCATGTAACTTATACATGTATTTTGTATATTTATCTATCTATTTAACCTAAGTGTGCCCACAACTAGTATAAAATAAAATAAACACAAACCCTAACTCTTGTTATAATTGTTTTCCACAACACTAGCAGCCCTAGCAGCCGTGGGTTTATGAAGAAAAGAGAGGGGTTTTTCAACTTCTCTTCTTTCTTTGTTCTTTATCCTAATAATATTGTTATTTAATTCATTGACGGAGAGATTGTAGGTGTATGTATTTTGTGTATATATATATGCTGTTAAGAAATCTAAGGAGTTAAATTCATGTATAAAGAATGGTGTAATTCTTAGTCCAAAAATTCTGCACAGAATCGCAAACTTTAAAAATCAAGAAAACATATCAAACGGATGAATTTTAATCTGAAATTTTTACAGTAGATCAACTACATATTGAATTGCATATCTGAATTTTTTCATAATTTTTGGGAATCGAAATCCATATAAATTGAGGTATTCAAATCTGTCCAGGAAACCAGTCCGAAACAGTAAATTCGGGATTGTTGTTCTCTTTGGGTATAAATCAAAAAATTCCAAAATTATCAAATTAGAGTTACAATAATTAGAACCGGTTATGAGTCTAGTTTCGTACGTTTTTGGCCTTGATTGATTTCTGTGCTATATTAGAGAACGTTATTTTTAAGTGCTGCAAAACAAAAAAACCCTGTTTTTTGGGAATAATAATAAATTTGTAGAAAAATTATTTTGATAAGGCATCAAGGTGAGAACCAAATTGGGTTTGAACTTTAGGATATATTAGAAATATCTGGAGGTTATTGGAATTTTCATCGAAATAAGCGTGGAGTGGATTTGTAATTTTCAAAGCTTAGGCAAATAGATTGGGAAACTTGTTATAAAACACTGTTTCATCTTTAAAGTTATTTTTTAGTTAAGTTTCGATGGAATCTATGTCTTGGGGTATTTTAGACCTGAGAGAATATGAACTTACGTAATTAATTTAAGAGTATCGGTGAGTTGGGTTGAGCCGTGTTAGTGCGTTTTAGTTTGAGATTACTTAGTTCCTATTTTTTTTTTAGGGTATTTTAAAATTGTTGTGACGCCGTAGAGTTTTTTGTACATTGGTTCAGGCCACTAGTTGGACTTTTTTACACTCTATTCGAGGATTATATTATTGGTTTCATGGTGAGTAGTTCATGCTATGGTATTTCTATAAATGTTCCCTACCTGAACTGTTGGGAAAATTAAATTGTTGTTTCAAGTCTAAACTGTTTTGATAAATGATTTATATATCATGAATCAAATTATTTCTAAAACATGTGTGAACTTGCGCAATCTGCAAACTATTTGTTTTGGTCTCATGTATTATATATGATGAACTACCTGTTTTGCGAAACTGATGTGTATTTGATTATTGGACCATGTGTGTATTTAAGTCCAGGAATTATTCCACTGTGTGTGGTGACTCTGGCCAGTTAGGGGAACAGATCCGGGTTGGGCCGTGATGACTCTAGTGCTCAACGTTGTAAGGAAAAGACCTTTATAAAAAATAACTAGGTTGACCTTCAATCGGATTCGTCCTTTGAGAGAAAGGCCCAGGTGCCATCCTGAGGATGGACTCTTGTTCGGTATTGAGTCCCAACAGGGCTTATAGCCTGAGAACTGTTGTGGGCAGATATATTTGGTTTTTATTGGTACCTAGCGCAAAAATTATTAGGTGTTCATGTTTTATAATCTGTTTTAAGTGAAAAATGTCGTTTATTCATGTTCTTGCGAGACATGAGTATTTTAAGGTTGTTGAATTTGTGGAACCGTTCTTTTGAAACAGATGTATTTTACCAAACTGATGCCAATCTCTAGTTTATGTGATATTATCTTATTTTGGAATTGAAACTTGTTTTCAAACATGTATTTTACTTCCATGTTGTACTCACTGAGCATATCAGCTGACCGTTAGTGTTTACCATTTCAGTGTTTAGAAAGGACTTAGATGGAAACTCATGGCGTAGCGGGGAATCAATGATGACCTTCTAGGGCATTCCTTTAGTTTAGAGTGTTATGTCAAGTTTGTGCCAATATATATTATTCTTTCGAGTTCATTTAGGATTATTTTTGATATGTGGGTATTTGTTTATATCCATAAGTTTGGATGGTTTTTTGATACGGTTGATTTTGCCGT